CTCCTGAAGAAGAATAGTCAACTATTCGAAAGCGCTCGAGTTTTGGGTCTTATTTTAAGTCTATTACACTGATTAACATCTATAGTTACTCCATTGTTACAATGACATAATAACACTACATATAAACGGTTCTTTCTTATATACTATGAAATATTTACTAAGACGAGAAATCCGTGCCTTAAGGAACAAAACAACACGGGCATTAAGATTGAGAAATACTTGATTTAGATAACCTTCACGCTCGTTGAAGGTCGAACTTCTGCAGCGCGTGTTTTTCCAGGCAGACCATGTTTGGCATAGGAATGAGCTGATTGAAAATCAGATAAGCGACCCGAGAGCACGATGTTTAGGTTTTTATAAGGCACTGTGTTCACATTATTTCCAATATTGTCAATAAAACAATTTTCTTGGTATAATTTTTGTTTTGATCATGTAAGTTTTATTACAATGTTTTAGTAATTTTTATGTTGATTCAAACAGCTACCTTTCAACACAAAAATACAATAACCTATAACCTAAGCACTTTTGAAAAGTGGACCTTTCTTCTTCAAACAGAGCTCGGGTTACTGGGTATCATATTTTTGTGTTAAATTGACTTCTTGAACCTATGTGTTTATTAACGTCATTAACATAGCATCGTTTAATATTTATGTACGTTGAAAATGTTTTTTTTTTCCAGCTTTTTAAAACAGAAAAGTCTTAAATTAGTAAGAAATCAAGTGCTAATCATACTACTTACCCCTTTTCTATATAAAAACAATTCATTATATTCATAATTTGATAATGAAACGCGTATGTTTGAATGAATTCGAAGTCGAAATGAATTTTTAGTGTTAAAACGAACTTTAATTAAGTAAAAAAAAATCCCAAATTTACAGCAATTTTCATATCAAAGCTGTTATATAGTTAACATATAAGGATAATACTTAGTTATCTGTTAAAAATACAGACAATTATAACGAAAAGTATGAAGTGGGATCAACACTAGAAAATTAACTTGTGGTTTACAACCGGTCCAGTAAAGTTAAAATTTCTCTGGAGAAGTGTGAACGGAAATCGAGCGAGATTCGAACTCGTGAATTTGTTAAGGCTTTGCCGAACTAACCTACAAAAGATCATGAAACTCTATAGTCAATTTTCTCATTGCTTGTTGCTAATGGGTAAGTTTGGCAGGACACAATAAGGGTCCAAAGCCCCAATTTTAGAACACAAGTTTAAATTATAAGTTAAAAACCTATGAATGAATTGTTTTAAACTTTTCAGATTATGCTGACATTGCATTGTTTTACATAAATATATAGGTAAACTGAGATTTATTTATAATTTCATCTAAAGTTGCACACTCAGCTTTTGTTGATATTTGCATAATTGACGTCACTGTTTTGTGCTCAGTCCCCTATTCGCTGCCTTAGAGCATTGTTACAAAAAATATTATTTTTTTCCATCAGATAGTATTTTCATGTTCATATGACGTCTCTAAAACTAAACACCACAACAGAGTTAAAAATAATAATTCTGGCTTTATTAATTAATAAATTAATGCTTTAATAATCTATAAAGTGAATACTGACAGACGTTGCATTCGATTTTATGAAAAACTTAAACTAAACAGTCGAACATTGCTGTAACTTGAATCATTATTTAACACTTGTAATGCCATGCCTAACTAAGGATTTGTTTGTTTTGAGTCGTATTAGTAAGTCAGTTAGGAGTATCACCAGCGAGAGTAATATATGACTTTCGACGCGTTCTTTATTGTTTTAAACACATATTTTTCACCCGTTACTAATGTAAACTAATATCCCTTCTATAAATAAACACAAATCAAATTAAATAATAGTTAATTACACAGGGAAAGTTAAACGGAAAAAAATTACAAACCTTCGGTCCTTTGTCGGTGTAAGTAGTCTGAAAAAAAAGAAAAAAATATTTTAACATATATAATACATATATAAATATACACACACACATCAATACACAGTTTCCAAAATATTTTAACATATATAATACATATATAAATATACACACACACATCAATACACAGTTTCCAACTTCGTCATTCTTCCATAACCTGTCCTTTCAACTTGACTGCCTCCATGCGGTATTATTTTTAAAAATGTTCATTTACAATAATTTATCTTCTTTATAAAAATAAGTTTATAATTTGTTACACATTTGTTACTATTACAGTAGTTAATAGTATTATATACCAGCACTAGTATCATATTAAAACAGCTCGTGTTCCTCTCACCTACAGTTGTTAATAGTATTATATACCAGCACTAGTATCATATTAAAACAGTTCGTGTTCCTCTCACCTACAGTAGTTAATAGTATTATATACCAGCACTAGTATCATATTAAAACAGCTCGTGTTCCTCTCACCTACAGTAGTTAATAGTATTATATACCAGCACTAGTATCATATTAAAACAGTTCGTGTTCCTCTCACCTACAGTAGTTAATAGTATTATATACCA